AGAAATCAAGTGTAATTTTGATAGGTCTGCCTTTATACGTTACCTGGCCTTTTTCCTTGTCTGCTCTTAATATTCTTTCTTTATTCTGTGTTTTAGGTGTTTTGATTGTAGTGTGTCGAGGGGTCTTTTTTCTTTGGTCCAGTCTATTTGATATTTGGTTCTTGTACTTTTATGGACATTTCTTTCTTCAGATTGGGAAAGTTTTCTTCAATGATTTTGTTGAATATGTTTTCAGCACCTTTGAGCTGTGCTTCCTCACCTTCCTCTAGGTCTATTATTCTTAGCTTTGGCCTTTTCACGGTGTCCCACATTTGTTGGATTTAAGATTTTCTATAGTCAATGAATCTATTTCCTCTAGTTTATCTTCAGCGCCTGAGATTCTCTCTTCCATCTCTTGTATTCTGTTGGTTTTGCTTGCATCTGTAGTTCCCGATCATTTGCCCAGTTTTTTTATTTCTGGCATTCCCTCAATTTGTGTTTTTTTTATGGTCTCTATTTTGGTTTTCAAGTCTTGAACTGTTTCCTTCACCTGTTTAATTGGTTTTTTTGTTTTGTTTTGTTTTGTTTTGTTTTTCTTGGCTTTCTTTACTTTCTTTAAGAAATTTGTTCATTTCTTCCAAATTTTTGTTTGTTTTTCTTCCATTTCTTTTAGGGATTTTCTCACATCATCTTTGAAGGCCTCTATCATTTTATGAAGATATGTGTTAAGTTGTTCTATTGTGCTTCATCTGCTTTGGGGTGTTCAGGTCTAGTTGGTGTAGAGTTCCTAGATTCTGGTGGTATCATGCTTGTCTTTCTGTTGTTAGGTGTTTTCTTGTATTGCCGTCTTCCCATCACTTCTTCCAGTGGGTGCAGGTGGGGTCTCTCTCTCTCTATGCTACTCCCCTGTGGGTTTAGATGTGTCAGAATTTCTATGTCTAAGCTCTTTAGGAAGTCTTTCCTCAGGCAGGGGCTGGCGATGGGGGTCAAAGATGAGGTTTCAGCAGAGGCCCTCTTGCAGAGGACCTGCGATGAGGGTCAAAGATCCAGCAGGCAGGGACTCAGGATGGTCCCACAGGAATAGGGAGATTTCTGGCAGGGCCCAGAACTCAGGCAGAGGACTCACGGTGGGGGTCAGAGATCAGGCAGATGGGGATTCAGGGTGGTCCTGCCTGGATAGGTGGGTCTAGTGTGCTTAGAGCAGCTCCAGGAAGTTCCCCGAAGGTGGTGGGATTGTTGGATCGGCCTTCTGTTCCAGGGCTCAACCAGAGAGGTGGGACAGTGGGCAGGGTATGGCACAGGGTTGGGGGAGGGCAGGCTCTTTGTGGGGTGTATCAGAGCACCAGTAGTGCTCTGGCTGGGGACAGGACACAGGGGGAGCTGGATTCAGGGCCAATCCAGGGAGTTCCCAGGGAAGGGTGTGGGGGGGATTCAACCTGAACTGGTACCAGACTCACCTCTAGCAAAAATCCAGTGATGGGGGTCAAAGATCCAGCAGGCAGGGATTCAGGATGGTCCTGAGGGAATAGGCAGATCTTTCACCAGGCCCAGAATCCCAGCAGAGGACCAGCAGTGGCGGTCAGAGATCAGGCAGGCTGGGATTCAGGGTTGTCCTACGTGAGTAGACAGGTCTAGTGTGCTCCGGTACACATGTTTCTTAGTCATTCTCATTACAGAAGAGTCCAAGGCCACAGCGAGTCTTAGCATGGAGCATCTTGCCAATACCTTTAAATTTCTCTATCCTCAAAGATGCAGCAGGGCAGGTCCATTGACCTCAATTCCTAGAAATGTGCATGGTGTCCCAGCATGTGACAATGCCAGGTCTGTGGACCTTTGAAAAGCATCCAGGGAATTTTGATTTTATATGTCCACTGATGGACTGTTTATCCTAAATGATGACAAATTTCATATGTATATGATTGTCAAATGAAGCCACAAAGGCATAAATGAAGAACATGGTTGTGGTACTTTTTTGACAAACACTTCAATGAATTCACATATCAGTCAGTATCCGTGTTCACAAAAGCCAGTTGGTATTTGTTGGGAAAGAGGCCTAAACTGTGAATCCATGGATTTCGTGTGTAGATGTCAGCTGCCATTCAACCAACAAGCTTAAACCACATACTCTTTTGTTTATGATTTGTAATTTTTTATTTTAAGACTTAAAACTAATAACCATGCATTGCATGGGAATTTCCCAAGTTGAATATCACATGGAACCCAATAGGTATAGCAAAAAAATAATAGTGAAAAATTACAAGGGTCTCCATGTGTATAGAATTCTACCATGTGTGTAATGATTAGTTGATCATGTTACTTAACTCATATGAGTAATATACATGGTGGTTATCAAAAATATTACTGGATTGTAAACTTCAAATTTCTTCAGTAACAAAAAGAAATTCATTTGGATTTTGTGATGGTTTGAATATGAAATTATAATCCCATAAACTCATGCATTTGAATGCTTGCACTATAGGGAGTGACACTATTAGGAGGTGTGGCAATGTTGGAGCAGTATAGTATAGTCTTGTTGCAGAAAGAGTATCATAGATGGAGCAGGCTTTGACTTTTAAATGCTCAAGCAATTCCCCATGTGGAAATCAGTTCATTATTTGTAGCTTGTGGATGAAGACGTAGAACTCCCAGTTCCATACCTGCTTGAAATCTGACATGTTTCCTGCCATGAATATAAAGACCCAAACCTCTGGAACTATAAGCCAGCCCCAATGAAATGTTTTTCTTTATAAGAGTTATAATAGTCATAGTGTGTCTTCACAGCAATAGAAACTATAACAAAGATGGAAGTTATTCTTAGGACTGGAGTTATTGAATGTAGGCTTGCATTTGTTCTACTTAAGCAGAGGAAGCCAGTTTTGCACCGAAGTGATAGTTACATTCAGGGGCATTTCCAGGCTACAGGTCTCTTGATTTATCTGGAAAGAACCTCAAGCTTAATATTTCAGTTCTGTCTAATTCCTTTTATTTGTTCAATTATTGTCTTTTGTTTCTAATTAGCATAAATATAGCTAATCTAAGGCTTTTTCATATTTAAACTTTTTATTGACCCAATGCTTCTTCTCCCCATCCCTCCACTCCTATTCCATCTTATCTGTTGCATGCACATTGTTTTCCTTCTATTCTCACTCATTGTGTGTTTTCTTTCCTTCCATAGCCCCGCTCGTGGAAACTCTTCTTAATTTTCCTATGGGCCGCATTCTACTTACCTGGGATAAACATATATTAATCCCACTTAAACACGTTTTTCAGAGACCCATAACTAATGAACAACATTGACACAGAATTAAGCTAGTGATCTTTCTGGGCCTGTCTTACCTGACTTCATATAGACTTTCTACATTCTGCTGTAGCCTTTTCCTAGGATGTTCTTCAGTGTCAGTGCACGGAGAGGGGAGACTGCTGGCATCTGGTAGTTTCTAAAGGTACAACTCGTGTCTTCACTTTGTTTAAAACTATTCAGACCCCAATATTCATAACCAATTTTGTCCCAGTTATCGACTGGTCAGGTGACCACCATTGCCTTGCTGATGGTTATGTGGGAAAACTGGATTTTTCCTAGGACTGCTTGGTTCAACCTGGAACTGACTCTCAGCTGTTTCTGCCTACTACATCAAGGGATTGCAGACGATTTTTCCTAAAGGGATAGAATATGTTGTGTTGAGACTTCCCTCTGAATTCCCTCCTCTGGTGGACTGTTTAACCCACTGCCTTCATTTCTATCATTCCCTGTCTACGCCAATGGAATGGTGCATGATTATCCCAGACACAGTTTCAACTGAGACACAGAACGTTAATCCAGTAGCTATCATTTACCACATAATGCTATTTTCCTTGTCATTAATGGTAGCATTTTCTGCCTTACTCTATGCTGTTGTATATTCTGTGAGATTTCATCTTGTCAGATATTTCTTTATATCTAAGAGGATTGCCATGAATGTGCACACATGTGTGTTCCTATGTTTTATGATTTTCATAAATGCATGTCTTAACATGATGGAAGTTTATAGTTAAAGCTTCACTCTAATGTATCTTTGTTTTAATAATTTGTCCTTATCTAATACTGTTGCAGGGTAAAGGCCAAAAGACTGCTCAGCATGACTACAGTCAAATTTGAGGGTTTGTATTCAGAGAATTTTGTTATTACATGGAAGGAAACACTTCTCACAGTGCAGACTGAAATTCATCTTACAGGGAGCTGTTGAAGGCAAGCATACCACAACATATGTATCCTGATTGGCAGCTGTCAGAGGTGGATGGAAATTAAAGCATTCATGAACTTTAAAAGAAGCTAAAAACATTCAGTTATTTGGGGGCATTGTGACTCCCAGTTTGTAGAACAAGGGTGTGTATTTATCCAAGAGAATCTTCATGAATGGAATAGAAAAGGAAGAGTTAATTTCATGTTAAACCAAAAGGGCTCCACCTGAGGGAAGATGAAGGAATGTTTGCCATATCAAAAGACCATAGGTATATTCTGAGTGATATTACAAAATTGTCACTTCATATCTTCTACTTTTAGAGGAGATATAAATTAAGTGTCAATATATTTAACTTTTCCAGCATTATTAAAGTTGTTTTCTCTTACATGATGACTAGAAAATATCAATATATTCTTGAAATCTTGCATTGCATTTGTTCTATAGACAGAAAAATGTCATTGTTTTTCATGGGCCAATGTCACATCTTTGTGAATGTTTGGTTTACTGTGAAACAAGATGGTTCTCCTTCCACCTTATTTACATTCTGAGAAACTGCTCATTCTCACAATAACACACATGGAAAATAGCTCCCTCTATTAAACTTTATAATAAGGTCTTTTTAATGGTTGGGCTGGTCTCGAACACCTGAACATTTTAGACCTTCTTTGAGACCTTGTTTTCCAGTGTGTCAGTAGCCCCATCAACAAAAACGTTTCTCTCTTCACTGAAAGCTGTAAATATTTGTCAGTATTTATTTGACCAGAAGAATAGTAGATCTATATACTTAATGAAATTGTGCCAAATCACAGAATGGACTTCTGGAATCTGGCAATCAGCCTCATTTACTTATCACAAACTACAGCTGGAATTCTGGGAAATTTTTCCCTAATTTTCTACTATCTAGCCCTTTACTGCAGAGAAAACATGTTAAAGCCCACAGACTGGATTCTCGTGCACTTAATGGCATCCAATACCTTGATCATTCTCTCTACAGGAGTGCCCCAAACAATTTCAGTTTGGGGATTTAAGCAGTTCTTGAATGATTTTGGATGCAAGCTCCTGTTGTACATTCAAGGCTTTGGTAGGAGTGTGTCTATTGGCACCACCTGCCTCTTGAGTGTCTTCCAGGCCTTGACCATTAGTCCAAGGAAATCGTGTTGGAAGAAGCATAAAGTCAAATTTGAGAAGATCACTGGCTGCCACATCTCTCTCATTTGGATCCTGTTCATACTGATAAATTTTATTTATTTTCCATATACATTTATCAGTAGGGATAGCAAAAATATGACAAGAAAACGAGATTTTGTTTACTGCTCTATTGTAGGGCGAGAAGAAATTAGCACTTCACTCTATACAGCATTGGTAGTTTTCCCTGAAGTCTTCTTTTCTGTGCTCATGGCCTGGTCCAGTGGCTTCATGATTGTCATTCTATACAGACACAAGCAGAGGGTTCAACACATCCGTACCACCCAGTGTTCCAGCAGAAACTCCCCAGAATCTATAGTAACCCAGAACATTCTGGTCCTTGTGTTTACTTTTCTGGCTTTTCATACTCTCTCCTCCATCTTAAGAGGCTACACTATTCTTTTATATAATCATAACTGGTGGTTGGTTAACACCAATCGCATCATTTCTCTCTGTTTTCCATTGTTTTTACCCTTTATTCTCATATATCGTTACTCCATTGTATCCAAACTTCATTTGGTCTGTATAAGAAATACAAATAATTTAATCTCATTGTAAGTATGCATGTGATACATTTTGCTTAATATCTAGTTGTTTACTCTCCAGTCACCCTCATATTGTCAATACAGACATTAAGATGTTAGCAACTTGTCTTTTTAAGATTAGCGGAAATGAATATAAGAGCTTTGTCAGCTGGTTGAATTAGCAGTCTACATTATTCAATATTATCGTGTGAGGCCCATTGTATTATTCAACTTGAAGCTGAGTCTTCACATTGCCCACCTGATGTGCAAAACACCCAGCAAAATGTTGTCAATAAAAAATGCCTTTCTTGTGGCTTTCATTCTGTCAGGTGATCATGCATGCTTGTTGATTTCATAGTCAACTCTGTGTAGTAGTTTCTAACTACATGAATACAGAAATAGAGTCTAGCAATGAACTTGTGTGTCAGGAGGCCCTATTCCCATCACATTGGTACAGACCAATACCAGGGGAAAAAAAGATTAATAACTTTCACCTATTACAAAAGTCAATTCAAAATTACAGGTGGCTTTGGTGTAATTCTGAACTTGCTATTATTTTATAGCAATTTTTTCTTTTCTTTCTATTTATTTTTTATAACTAAGTCCATTTAAATGAAAACAAGTATTTATAGACAATATTTGGGAATTTGGGCATCATTCTTTCCAAACTACTTCCTGGTAAGGGGTGCTTTCATGGGGGATTCTAAGAAGATTTAACATCATCAGGGATATTTATTTGTGTATCTTCCTTGCTGATGATATGTTTTTATTTGGTTTGGCATCAGTGTAATGCAGGCCTCTCCAAAAGTTCTAAAATTAATTTAACACAGCCACAAAGAAAATCAGTTTTTGACTTCTCATTAAAAAATAGTGAAATTGGAATTACTATTTGACCCAGGTTTTCCATCCTTGGGGCATGCATCCAGAGAACTCCATAGCATATACCAGAGACTTTGGCACACTAATTTTCACTGGTGCTTTACTTACTTTGTAAAAAGAAATGAAGGCCACAAACATATGTATAAACAGAAAAACTGACAATTAAATTGCGTTTATACACAAAACTGATTATTATTTGAGAACAGTGAAACATGATGACAGAAAATATGTTGGCAAGTTGTTGGACATATAGGGATAAAATAGAGCCAGGCCACACAAAGTCAGTATGAAATTAAAACCTTACATGTTTTCCATCATATGCAAATCTTGTCCAACAATATCTACAGGTATATTATCAAATGCATATAAGTATAACTTCAATATCACATTGAGAAAGGAGACAAATAAAGGTAGTATTAAGTGATGACCAGATAAAAAAGATGCATGTTTTATGAAAGAGGTTATAAGGTTAATAATTTTTCTATTTACTATTCAGTCATTTTTCTCATTATTTCTGGTACAAGTGCCATAAAATGTAATTGCTAGTGACAATGTAATAACCTAAGCAAAGTTGTATAGCTTCACCATGGCTATTTGATGTACACTGAGGTTGAGTGAAATGTACAGTAATTGGGCCTGGTCAAGTATTACTATGATTCACTATTTCATTGTTGCTCATTAATGATTTTATTTTTTATGTGTGAGTTAAAATGAAATACCATCACTATCTTTCCAACGATACAAGGATGACACCATATATAGCTATCAATAAATGTGATGCATTATAAAGTTAGACTCAATGACAGAAATGACATGATTATCATATTAGATGCCATAAATCTTTATTTTCCTTTTTTGAACATATTATTGAAAATAGATCAAGATCAAATGAGAAAATCCATTTTCCAAGCAGGATGTTGGAAAGATTTTTTAATAAAATCCTCCATTATAAATTCCATGGAGTGTCTAGAGATAAATAGATCACATCTCAACATAATAAAGCCAGCATACTATAAAACTACAGTCAAGGGGCCTAGGCCTTTCCCAAATGATGTCACAGATTTTGATGATCCCCCATGGAAGGCCTCACCCTCTCTGGGGAGTAAATGGGGGTGCATGTGAGGTAGGCAAGGGACACGGGAGGATGGGAGGGAGAGGGAACTGGAATCAATATGTAAAATAAGATTGTTTCTAATTTACATGAAATGTATATATTTACAAAAGCAAAATGACTAGAGTATTGGTAAGGTATAGATAGTTGAGGACATTGTGAAGACCACGCATTTGAAAGAGCTATGTGAAGGAAGACTTTTAAATGTATGCACATCATTATATTATTAATTTCTGACTCATTTTCTGCTTTATGGACCTTAGTTACAGACATTTTTTTCTTCTATATTTGTTCACTCAACTCCACGCAACTCGGATTTTGTTATAGAGAGATGGAAATGAAAATACATCGATGGAAATAAAAAATAGTTTAAAAGTAAAAACACCATCATAGAGCCCTCATCTAATAACTTATGGAAACAAAAGCAAACACCCACAGCTAAATGTTGAGTCGAACTGGAATCCATATGCAGAGAGTAAGGACAAGACCAGGCTACAGAAACTCATAGAGACAAGGAGGAGCCAATGAGCCCCCAGACTGATAGCTGGGAACTCAGCATTGAACCCACTCAGACCCCCTGAACATGGGTCTCAGTTAGAAGGCCTGGGCAGTCTAAGGGACCTCTGACAGTGGAACCAGGATGTATCCCTGGTGCATGAAAGGAGGAATACTCCCTTAACCTAGAGGCAGGAGGGAGGGCCTAGTCCCTACTCCAAATGACTTGATAGGTTTTGTTGACCCCTCCTGGAAGGCATCACCCTCCCTGTGGAATGACATGAGTGGGATGGGAGAGTGATTGAAGGGCATGAGAGAGAGGGAGAAAGGGAGAGAGGGAGGGAGGGAGAGACGGAGGGAGGGAAAACTGGGATCCATATGTAAAATATGAAGAAAGAAAAAAACCACAATGTAATTCCAATGGAATCATATTTATAAAAGGAAAAATGTGTGGAGACAATGAGCAGAATAAAATTAAGAAAACAGTGGATATGAGTTGATAAAAATGGTTCTCAATGAAAATGACAAAGACATGTGTGTCAAGAGTATGTATTGGTGTCAAGAGAAGTTGTAAATGCCTACAATTGAGCCCTACAGCATTGGGAGTAGAGATGACATAGGGGATCATCTGAAATATTCGTGTTGGAAGGAATCATAAAACAGAAGGACGGAAGACACAGATGATTGACAGCGCTCTGAAGGCTAGGAAGGTCACTGGTAAGGAACTTAAACTGATAAAAACACTGATTCAACCAAGGAGCTTGCTGTGTAGAAAAACAGTGCAACAGACACCAGTGAGGAATGCTGGCATGTGGTGGCCTTCTAAAGGCACAGTGGTAGAAAGATAGGAGATATAGACATGCTTTCACAGTGACCCATGAAGGCTCTGAACCCTTTATCACCCTAGATATCAGCCTATAGGACAAATCACTCATCATGCCTCAGAGCGTATGTGACAGAATTACCCTTTGCTCTGAATCCAGGTCCCATACACCCAAATTTTAGACGCAGTAAACGCTTTCAACATCCCTTGGGGGTCTTTCAAGTGTTGAAATGTTGGATTTAGAGTTACGTGTTTTAATGTCTGAGCTGTCCTTGGTATGGGACATGCAAAACGAGACTGATTATTTTGTGTAATTTCTATGCTATAATGAAGGTCTAACAATCAGAGTAGAGCCCTGCTATGCTGAAATCGCTGAAATCTCCTTATCTTGGAAAAAGTGAATGACATTCCAGATGATCAGAAGCTATAAACTCATCACTGTGTTCTGTCCATTTTGCCAAAAAGCTATTTGCAGATTCAATAAAACCTTTATTAAACCCCCATCTCGTTCTTCATAGGAATAGAAAACAATGCTAACATTCATGTGGAGCCACAATAGACCTAAACAGAAAAAGAAAATCCTGAGCACAATGAACAATGCCATTCCAGCTATTAAGAAATATTATAAAGACAATAAAAATAGTATTGGCATAAATAAATACAAGTGAAACAATAGGACCGCTTGAAGACTCAAACAGGAGAAAATGTAATTCAGGCATTTAATATTAAATAGTATGTCAAAAGCATATGATGGAGAAAAGAAATCATCTTCAACAAATGGTGCTTGGAAAATTGAAGTTCCACATGTGAAGCATGAAATGAACCTATCACTTTGCACAAAAACTAACTCCAAATAGATCAAAGACTTAAACATGAAACCTGAAACACTGAATTGCTGGGAGAAACATAGTGGGAACAGTATGAATGTGTACTGTCTTCATGCAATTCCAATGGAAGACAGAAGAGGGCATTAAATTCCCTGGAACTAGAGTTACAAGTATTTGGGAGACAGTCTGCTAGTGCCAAAAATGAAAAATGGGTCATCTCTAAGAGCAGCAATTGCTCTTAGGCAAACATACATCTCCCCTATCCTATGCATAGTCATTTATCATAAACTATTGTTTCTCTATTCACTGATCAGTTCAATTTTGTTGAATACAAAGATTATTTATATCCAATATCCATATTAAGACTATATATTTATATATTCAATGTCTAGCATAAGACATAATCTTCCTAAACAAATCTAGAATATAATGATGCCTTTTTATAGATCTAATTAATATTTTTATATTAAATCTATATTAGTCACTTATCTTGTTTAATAAATTAATTAATTAATTTTTATGGGTTTGGTTTTTTGCTTGATGTAAGTCTGGTACAAATTTCCTTAACACACCATGCTTGGGGAAGCAGTTTTCCTGGCAGAGGAGTGTGTGGTGGAGGTGTATCCTCAGCTTTCATAAGCAGAAGAATGTAAGAGGAAGGGACTGGGAACCAGGTATAACACCCAAAGTCATACTGACATTGTCTTGTTCAAGCTGTGAGGCAGATGAATGGCCTCTATGTTGTGATACTTTGCTCCATCAAAGAAAATATTCAACCACAATAGGATGTGATATGCTAAGTCTTTTATTGGCATTTGTTATTGAAATATCTAAATAGTTCCTCTTACAATGAATTGTGTAGTTGCAATTAGATATTGCTTCCTTTCCAGTGTGATAAACTTGATGATTACAGTAGATAAGAACACCAACACACTCATCTAACAATAATGAATGAAAACTGAGTTCATGAATTTGAAAGAAATCAAGGTAGGTATAGATATGTAGAAGCTTTGGCAAAAGAACAGGAAGGGGGAGTTATGTAATTATATTAAAATCTCAAAAAACATTCAGCAAACTCATTATATTTCCCCCACACACTGGTTTGTGCACTGTAATATGAGGGCCAGAGAACCTAAGTTCCCATTAATGTCAAGATTCCATCAGGAGAAGAAAATTCAATTTACTTCAATTCATTCTCTTTCCTAGAGATTCTAAAATCCATGATGCCTGAACCTAGACAGGTCCAGTTCCTGAAAACCAAGTCCCTTTATCACCCCACATGGTATCCTCCTCTTTATTCTCTTGATTAAATATATACCTATTTACTAGGCATTCTTTTCAATTCTCCTTTACACTTTGACCATTTTTTATGTGAACAGTTAGTTCATATATGCTATGCTGAATATAGCAAACTTATTTTACTCTATGTTACATAGCATCCTTCCAAAGATATCTGTTACCTCTTGAACACAACTTCTAATCTGAACACAAATCCCTTCAGATAACATTTGCAAAAGTGTAAGGATGTCCAGTGCCACTTTGTTGTGATCTTGGACTGTTGCGGGTTACACTGCTTGGACACCCCTTGGAAGAGGTGAATGATGCAGCACCAACAACTCAGGCACCATGAGTCAGTGAGTAGCAGAGCGAGCTGAAGAACCCTTTATAAGGAAGTTGGACCTGCTTTTGTGACCCCTCCTGTGGTCCTATTGGCTCAGGTTGCTGACTCTGTTGATTAGTTTTTCCTCCTGGTGTCTGACTCAGGTGTCTATTCATCATCAGTCTATGGGCTTTGAGGCAGGTTTGGTGACTTGGCTTAGTAAGGAAGGACCTGTCGCACATGCACATGTGGGCTGGACTGGGCCCCAGGGGCAGGGTGACTGAGGGTTGGGTAAGCTGGCAGCAGTTTCTCCTACATTGGACATCCTCTGCTACTACTAATGTGCATTTTACCAAGGAAAGGTCTTGACACTCACTCCTCCATTTATGGTTTGCAGAACTACAGTGATTTCTCTTTGTCTGCACAAGAGATATTTTTAAAATTTGTATCTTCTTATTTTAACTGGTTTTCTATATGATCTATTTCCATATAAGATCTTTATGCACATTTCATTTGGACTCTCTCCCTATTCTATATCTTTGTCTACACTTAGCTCTTCTATCCTATTATACTAAACTCCCACTTTCATTCTCTTCCGTTACTTTCTCTAACTTCCCATCTTTTAGTCTAGTCACACAGGTACTATCATTTACTGAGAATTTCATGGATGAGTATTGTATTTATATTAGTTCCTACTCTTCCTCTCCACACTTCAACAAATCACTCCTGATGCCTCTGAAATCCATAGCCTCTTTTAATTTAATTATATAAGCATAAGTGCATATTTATGATCTGGCATGTCCATTTTACTATCTATATATATGACAGATATATACACACATACATACACACACACACACACACACACACACACATGCATGCATATTCTTGGATCAACAATTAAGAGACCTATTGCTATGGAAGACCGATTCTCCCCTTATCTGTACTCATTAACTACTTGTAGCTTTTTAGCCACAAGTGAAGGCTCATCAGATTTCCCATGTTTGTTGACAGCTGAAGTACGGCTACCACTGTTGTGGTCTAGTTGAGAAAACCATGTTCTTGAAAGTTCATGATTAAAATTAAGACATTATTACCAGGAAAGCATCCATGCCTGGTACTTTAATTTTAGCCTACTCTCCATGGATGAGGATGAGATATATATATATATATATATATATATATATATATATATATATATATATATATATTTTCTGATACCCACAGGTGAGAGTAGGTCTCACCCCTCTTCAGAAAACAGCTCCTTTTCTTAACAGATAAAGACCCTTGCAGAAGTCCACAACTGTTCAAAATCCAGCAAACAGCTGACTGTAAGATGTTCAGGCCCAGTTGATACATCGGTAACACAAGCCCTACAACTAAATCTCAGAAAGCAAGTTGAGAGAAAGAGTGGTGATGTTTTAAAATCCAGAGGACCTGGACAAGTGCTCAGATTTAGGTCTTCTCTATAACAAAGAAGCAAAGCAGATAGTCCCCTCCCTGCCTTCTTGTATATTTTCTTATTTACACACACATTTAACTCCATACGTAATATGTAGAAGCCACAATGTGCACATGACAGAAAACATACTATTTTTTCAGCTCCATCCATTTTCCAACTAATGAAATATTTTATTTATTTTTTCACCACAGCTAAATAAAGTTTATACACAGAGACAGACACAAATATGATATGTCATTGACTAAGTTGCACTCTCATAAAATCTTTTAATTGCCATGATGCATACAGTCCCAATGATGACATATCTCTATGGATAGTGATCTTATTGGAAACAATTTATAGCAATTTTAATATTGTCATCTACCTTTAGGTATTGACATGATAAAGGCTGTAATTTCAGTATGTGTTGGCCTATAGGCATGATAAACATAATGGAATAAAAAGAATATAAATAGGGTAGGTAGTGAAAATATTAGGACTCTCTCTGAATTCTAACATTTGTTGTCTGATATTAGCAAGTAATCAGAGGCAGGAAACTGATGTGTAGTGTCTGATGAGAAGAAAAGGGCACAATGCTGGAAAGCACGCAGCAGTGGCCACACTGGCATTGACCAGCCACCTAGTGGGTCCATTGACAAAGGTTAAACACAGGGTTAAGATGCCAGATGTTGTATAAAAGAACACAAAACTGCTCACCATGACAAGAATGGTTTGGGTGGCTCTGATCTCAGGAGATGACATAAGACAATGAACTCTGTGAATGTTTTGGACCCTCTGCTTGTGCTTAAGCAGAAAAAGCACCATGGATCCACTGGCCCAAATCATGATTCCCAAAAACATGACATCAAAAGAGCTCAATAAGATAGCATATATGTTAGGCTTTACATTTTGAGATTTGGCCACAGCACAGTATAGAAAATCTCTAATGCCTGTGCAGTTTCTTCCATTGTGCATGTCTATAATGAACACAGGAATGAAGCCATTTACCATCAGTTGACAGAACCAGCATAGGCTGACAGAAGGTCCAATGATATTGGGGGCTCTGGATTTGAAATATATGTTCTTGACATTCCTTGGAGTGACCATGATGGCCTGGAAGAAAGTTAAGAGTGATGTGGAACCAAGGGACACTCCTCTGACCACTCTATGAAAATAAAAAAGAAGTTTACATGCACTGTTATCAAGAAACTGTGTCTGACCAAAAGCAGCCATTGTCTGTGGGATCCCTTTACAGAGAAGAACCAGGAAGTTAGCCCCAGTCAGGTGTTTGACAATCAGGTCTGTAGGCCTGGGTCTGATCCTAGAGAATTCACCAACGATAAAACAGCAAAGCAAGGCTGAATTACCCAGCATTCCCAGTGCTGTCTGGGTCATGAAGAATATCCCCAGGGCCAGTTCTGTGGGTGACATTCTATTTACATCTATGACTGTGGCTGAGTGTGAGGTATAGACAACTCCTGATAGACATGCCTGATTACTGTTCCCAGGCCATGCTAAATATTGTTCTCCCCAGCAACCAGTGCATTTCATTCTTGATGAATTAGAATGTGTTTCATTTTCACAAACGCAATTCAAATTTATTGCAGCTTTGTTGCAGAGATTCCACTGTGAGACTGTTAAAAACCATTTGCTATATTTTAGAAACCAAGAGAGAGAGAGAGAGAGAGAGAGAGAGAGAGAGAGAGAGAGAGAGAGAGAGAGAGAGAGAGAGAGAGAGAGAACAGCTCAATGGAAGAAGGAAGAGTCAGGTCTCACTTTCAACCTTGTAATCATCTCAGGCTTGAAGGTAGGCATCCTGCCCAGTGCCCCATCACTCTAACTCCCAGATTCACCAGATTCCCTCAGTGGTGACGACTGAGCACATCTGTAGCAAATAAGGTTATAATCATTGCAATGCAAGGAACGTTATTGTGCATCACCTGTTAAAATAGTTCTTGTTTGAATATGAAAATAATTTTGTTCATCTGGCTGTTGTTTCCTTGGTTCCATTTTATAAACTCCTTCTCTGTGTTTGCCAACTGTCCTATTGAATCCTGAAATATTTTGTAGCGTTATATTTTGCAGGTATAAAATACAATTACCCAAAGACAACAATTCTAGTCATATAAAGATAAACTTTACATATCATTGAATTCAATAAGATAAAAATAGCATCAATATCAGAATTATTGCCATGTGAAATTTATATGAGGTATCATAATTCACAGACAGAAAATGATCACTAACATATTGTAGTGGACTGACTATATTGGAAATTTAATTATATATACAAAACTATACTCCATATTATATTTCATATTACTCAAGTCAAAAATATGTACTGTGTCTGTACATATGTCCAAGAAAGTACTGAGAAAAGAAAATCATATCTGCCAATTAGAAACTTAAATAACAATGCTGTGACACTTAGCTCCAACTGTGAAAATGAAAATTTGGTAGATAGAAAGAAGCCACGTCAGAATTACTTGCTATTGGTAACTACACATGTCTGACTTTCACACACACACACACACACACACACACACACACACCATTAATTCCTCATTACTGTTACTTCACTTTACAAAGGGAACATAGTCCTTAATTTCCCCTGTGCCCCTATGCACCGATGTATGCACTAGGAAAAAGAAAACCATTAACATCGTCTGGAAGCCAGGATTTAAAGGGGAGTTTACACAGTTAAGAAAGGGAGATGAAACTACTCCCTTAGCTCACTATGACTGCCCTGCACTGAAGCACGTCGCTGGAAAGAGCCTGAGATTTCTTCAAAGGGACAGGGACAGGAGGTGAACCCATAAGCACTTCCACCATTTGTTTTAATCACAAAGGTTCAACCTCCCTCCTTCTGATAGAAACCTACAGTTATAAGCACAGCACATAATTGCAAGAAGTGCTGAGCAGTATTGAAATGTCAACACACATACCGTTTTCTTTAATCCTTATTACTCTGAGACATCAGGGTTAACAGTACTTCTGTAGGTAATTTGCCTGTGCTGGTTTCTCTAGTGAAATTGAAAAGACCAGTTCAGAGCTGCACTCACTCGCTTGTAGCAGACTTTCCTCACTTCTGCAGAATGCAGGCAAGAGATGAAAACTTGCCTTTAAAATTAGATTTCTCTGGGATGGCAAATGCTGGATAAGACCTCTGCGGTCAAAAGGGTGGACAGCATGTCTCTCTGTAGGTGGGAGTTCCTACTACAGTGAGACTAACACATTGATATGCTGAGAAATCATCTCCCTTGTGGTCAAGATGATATCATAGGAGACAACCATGACTGTCGGCTGAGGAAATTGGTGTCACCTCTGAGGAACACTTATTACCTTCACAAACTTTGAGAAAGTTTCAATTGGGTTTGATCTGCAGGGGGACCCAAAGGATCCCAGGGAGCTGGAAGAAAGGGATGGATTCTGGTGAAAAGGGAAGCTGTTGATAGGTTTTGGATTGTCGAGTCATTGTCTGCAAAAGTTACTGAATAAACCCACAGAAAACAACCACCCCTTATACATAAGGAATATCAAACCAAAATATTTTTTCAGGAAGGAAAACACTCCTTTCAGAAATTTCTTTAAAGTAGCAAGACTTGGATTAATTAAAACTACTTTCCTAAAGCTCTTTCAAAACATACTGCTATTCTAATTTATAGACAGAAGAATTTCCATATCATTATGAAAATTAAAATTCCACATAATATAGCTTACTTTTGTTGTGCATCCTGGCTTAATCTCTATGTGTACTCTATGTGTAGACAAAGGATTAGTTTAAAATATATGACTTTCAGATATCCCAGTCATCTTTCTGAGAAAAGTTAGGAAGTTTGCAATAAATTAGTCTTATGATATACTATCTTATAAGAACAGCAAGATCCACAAGATAGGTGTATTATAAGAATAGATTGCCACATCTGGAAAAAATGGGAATGGCCTGTTATGATACAGGTTATACAATTTAGGGAAATCTTAGTTTTATATATACATATATATATATATATATATATATATATATATATATCTTAAGCACAGTAATTAAAACCTTAAATGTATTGGCAGTTAACCTACTTCTTAAAGTATGCTAACTGTGAATTACAAAGACCAAAAGCTCAGAGACCAACATGTTCATTCTCTTACTATGAATATGAATGGAATATTGAGCATGTGTTACACTGGAATTGATGGAGCTATAGGATCACACATCATGAAGAATGGGTCTTTAAAGTTCTGGTGGGATAAAGTGTCTGGACCACACTGGATATGTAAAACCAAAAGAGGTGAAGAAAAGATTTGGAATCATGTGGAAAGCAACTCTAAAATGAACTCAGACAAAAGCAGTGGGTTCAGGAGGTAAATGAGGAGAGTGAGTTAATCCGTGAATAAAAGATTTGTAAGATAACTCTGAAAACCATTAAGTTGTGGTTTATCCTAACTCAGGTTTATGCATAAGTAACAGACAGCATTGAGGGCTTAGAGCTTTCAGTCCTCTTCATGTCCATGGACGTAATAAGTCAAAGCACAGAGCTGCAGAAGAAGAATGTGAAATTGCCTAGCCACAGCTACATTTAATTAAATGTTTTTATTTCCTAAAAAATTAGAAGATATTAAAAGCAACAGGAGAACAGTGTAAAAAAAAAGTGGCAAAACCCAGACAAAATCTGGTTACAAGTAAAAGCCATGTTTTGCCTACATGCAGTTTAATTTCCACTGGTTTGTCAATGATACACTTCTCTCCTCCCTTCAATCTACTTTTATCTCCCATCATTTCTATCCTCTCTCCTCTCAGCTTCTCTCCTCTGTCCTCATCTTTTACTTTCCTCCTGTCCTCTAATCTCTTCTTTGCTCTAATTCTCCCTGAATTGTTCTTCCTAACCAGGACCAAGTTCTGGGATCCAGAGTTTTCACATTAGAGAAAGAAGGTTTAAGTTCACTCTTCAACTCCAGAAAAATCTGTATGACTCTGACCCCATGCTATAGATGAAGTTAGAGTGTATAGTTGTATCAGGTAGCACTGACCAACAAACAGTTAATAATTTATGGAGATTTGTTATGTTGAATTTCACTGTATTGGTCTACATGAGCTATAAGCCCAAGTTCTTTGATGAAGGATGAGGCCTATACTATTCCGTGAATATAAGCATGGATGTTTAGAATATGGTGAGTAATTACTCTATTTTAATAACGTGACAATAGCATATTCTCTTCCAAGAACCATGAATTTATTAGCTCTGGGTTCCAGCATCAGACATCATTTACCTCCATAAAGCAGAAGCATTTGCAAATTCTTTGACATGGCTATTAGTAGCCAAAAAAAAAAAAAAAACAAAACCAGAAAAACATCCAGCAAAAAAGTGTTGTATATACCCCAATAGATTTCTTTTCAACCACTAACACGATGAAGTTATGTTGCTTGTAGGACAATAGATGTAAACAAAAAATTACATTAAGTGAACACAGACAGTCATGGTTGAACCTACAATAGGATTACAGTATAGTGGCAAATACATGTTTAATCCTAGCATTCAGCAGAAGGGGGGAGTTCTATGAGTTCAAGTACAACCTGACCTAAGTATTGAGTTTCAGAACAGCTAGAAAAATATAGAGAGACCCAGGATCAAAAAAAAATGAAAGAAAAAAAAAAACGATGTGGGTGGTATATGAAGCAGAGTACCAGGACCCTCATGAACACTGATGCAAAAATAATAAAATACTGGCAAATCAAATCCATGAAAACATCAGAGAATTCATCTTCCATGACCAACTAGGCTTAATCCCAGGGATGGAGGAATGGTTCAACATATGAAAATCTGTCAATTTGATCCACCATATAAACAAACTGAAAAAGAAAAACTGCATGATCATCTCACTAGATGCTGAAAAAAGCCTTTGACAAAATCTAGCACACATTCATGATAAATGTCTTAGAGAGATCAGGGAAAACAGAACATACCTAAGCATAATAAAAGCAATATACAACATCAAACTGAATGGAGAGAAGTTTAAGGCTATCTCTCTAAAATCAGGAACAAGACAAGGCTGCCCATTCTCTCCATATCTCTTCAATATTGTACTTGAAGTTCTAGCTAGAGCAATAAGACAACAAAAGGAGATCAAGGGGATACAAATTGGAAAGGAAGAGGTTAAACAACACTATTTGCAGATGATATGATAGTTTACATTAAGTGACCAGAAATACTCTACCAGGGAACTCCTAGAGCTGATAAACACATTCAGTAAATTGCCAGGAGAAGTGAGTCTCTGCTAAAACTGTTATGAGACACTTGCCCTGACTTAAAGACTCATGATTTCCTGGTATTCCTTCCCAGGTGATTTTCAACTCAACTGTAATCCCACAATGACGGCATCTCCACAAGGGTCTGAAATAACTTTTAAACACCTTGGTCCTGAGTTCCTGTCAGAAA